CTCTTTCTCGCATAAGAAAAGTAGAAACTCAAAATATTCGAAGTAAACTTATGCTTGACGCCGGTCTATTCGTACACCATTATAAGTCCGATCCTTTCATACTGCAATAGAAGCGTGGCAGTACCATTGGAAAAAAATCGTATCCTTTTCCAAATCCCTTATAAATTTAATCCCATTGTCTGTAAACCTGTAATATAATACCTTCAGACATGAGCTCTAGCTAATTAATAACCTTATACGGTGAGATGTCACAAATCTTCCCGATCAATTATACCGCCTAACGGAGCACATCCTGAAAGGCCTAAACCACCCTAAACATATCAGCACAGGGGCTCTTTTCTTCGATGTCGCAAAGGCATTCGACAAAGTCTGGCACAACGGCTTGATTTACAAGCTATACACACTCAAAGTGCCAGATAGGCTCGTACACACCATCCGGGCCTTTTTGTTGAACCGATCTTTTCGATATCGGGTTGATGGCACCCTCTCCACAAGCCGCCGCCTCACGGCAGGCGTTCCACAAGGCTCCTGCCTCTCACCCTTACTCTTTACGCTCTACACGAGGGACATGCCCAAAGTCCCCCACGTCAATCTCGCGCTTTTCGTGGATGACACCGCGCTCTTTTATTCAGATCGCAACCTTAGAATACTAACCACTCGACTCCAAAGCGCCACCGATCGCCTCGGCGATTGGTTCCGCAAATGGAGAATAAAAATAAATCCCGAAAAGAGTGTGGCGATTCACTTCACACGAAGTACTTACCCGTCACATCTTTATAATGGTAAAATGCCCTTAAGGCACAAATTATTATTATATAAGACCTATTATGTCCTACGCATGCATGATCTTCGGCCACACGCACCCTACTCGCTTGTACAAGCTGCAAATAGTACAAAATAAGTTCATCCGCCGTGCAACCGGTGCGCAGTGGTATCAACGCAACGTCGATCTGCATAGCGATTGCAGACTCCCGACGATTCGCGAATATTTTAAAGACCTGACCAAACGGTTCTTCGATAGAGCCGAACATCATCCCAACCCTCTGGTGGTAAGCGCAGCAAATTACCAACCCGATCTAAACGCGAGCGTCAATAAGCGTCGCCCGCGAAACGTCCTCATCGACCCGGTCGAGGAACGGGACTTAGATACGCCGGACTGGGGGTCCCGCCGGATAACACTACACCCACAGCTAGTGTAACAACAAACACAATAGTTCGCCCTCGCGTGCGAGCACGGCGAGACCAACACAACGCGTACACAAGGTACACCCGCGTTCCAGGGCGGTTCTCACCGCCCCCAGCCACCGATTAGCTAAAAACACAGTCGACGGCCATCGGGGTCTCGGTCCGCACCGCAACTTCGATGGCCCTTAGATGACATGTCGTAGTTAAACGCACGCATGAGCACATGCGCGGTCCTACCCACAGCGGAGGGCCCAAACCCGTGAGTTCTGGCTAGCCCACCGGTTCTGCATCAGATGAAGCTTTAATAGTCTCGGGACTGAAAGCAAAAACATCAGTTAAAAAAAAATCTTCCCTTTACTACATGTAGTGCCTCCATCAACTCTACAATAGACACGAATGTTGTAATGTCTCATGCGTATATCACACAACACGGATTATAAGTAACGCCGCGTAATCCGTCGTTAAAACGCCTTCCGTAACGCTTTAAAAGCTTAGGACAACCGCTTACATTGCCCTTATCTTTAATATAAATTAGCTGCAGTTAGTTCAGTGGAGTGAGCTTAAGCGGAGCGCCAGATAAGGCGGCTTAAGCCAACAATAACGTGGTACGTTGACCTCTGCCCGAGAGTCGAGCGTCACCGATTGATAACGGGGTAAATGGGCCGTGCTGCCAGGCCGACCCATAACAATGCCCCCCACCGACACACACCATTCAATTCGCTAATGCCCCTTTAATTGGTTGAATGCTTCGAAAGTATCCGGCACAAATTGTTTGAGTTCACCGCCAATTGAATATACATAACGCAATTTGTGGAAACCGAACCGACCTCGGTTTTTACGCGAGGCCTTTTTATATACGAGTAGTGGCACATTTATTATAATTGCACTTTGCTGCAAGAACTTTATCTGCCGATAAAATGTTACATGAATTTAGGAGCGGTTTTCCTAGGTTCCGTTGATTTTTCTTGTGTCCTTGTCATTTCGATGAAAGACCTGTAACCTAAACTTTGACTTGCATGTGAATAATGTGAGTTCAGGTCCTAGATGTGTTTCCGGAATCCTAAGTCTCACATTTGAACAAATCAGACTTCACAACATAGTATAAAACAAAGTCGTCCCGCTGTCTGTCTGTCCCTACGTATGCTTAGATCTTTAAAACTACGAAACGGATCTTGATTACTAGATATTTTTAATAGATAGAGTGATCACGAGGAGGGCTTATAAGTATAATACATTGCACCCGTGCGAAGCCGAGGCGGGTCGCTAGTCAATAATAAAACACTATATGTACCATGAAAGTTCTTATAAGACATTACCTATATTGAATCAATATGCTGTCTATCAGCGTTCGACCCGTCACTTTATCATACAGGTTAAATCTGATATGATTTTAGTTCAACAACGCTATGACTCGACTCCAATATGTCATAACAGATGTTAGAATTTAAAAGACTAGCTTTTTGCCCGCGGCTGTGCTCGCGTTAATATATATGTATGTTTACGCGAGCATCACGCAAAATATATATATATATTTTTAAAGAAAGATATTTTCAACGCTTTACAACATTTTTTTCCAATTAAAAAATAGCCTATGTCCTTTTTCATTTAAATCAGTTCTATAGTTTTGGCGTGAAAGCGAGACAGACAGACAGAGTTACTTTCGCATTTATAATATTAGTATGGATTAGAGTTTTTGTTTACAAGAAAACACATTACCTAGTTTTTTTAAACATTAAAAAAACAGGGAATCTTGTGCGACCCTTAGAACAAGAACAAATCAAAAGCAAGGGCTTGATCAGGTTAAAAATAACCGTCTTATCACTGACATAATAACACCAGCATCGCCGAGTGATGTGTGGATGCTTTTTTGTTAATTGCCTCAGATACAGACAAATTACAAAAAAAAATAGGTTTCAAATTAATAAAGTAGTAAATTTAAATTAAAAATTAGTTAAGTTTTGACATAACTGTTATAACATTGAGTTATTAAACGCTAATCAACGTGGGATCGAAATAGCCGCCTACTCGTAAAAAGTGTAACAGATCGGTAAAATCGAATTAGTAACATTATACAATCGTTGTGAATTACAGGAAAATTTCACTTTGTAAATTTACATCGAGCCGAAACATTTGCGTGCCATGTTGAACTTTCAATTCATACAACGTCAACCGCTTATGTGATAAAATTACATTCACAATTGTCCTGAGACTGTTCTGTAAGCAATGAATCAACGGAAGTCACCGGGATGGAACTTTATTTTGAGAAAGGCACATCGAGTGCAATCATAACTTAAGGGTAGTGTCCGGTGCATTTACCATTTATCAAATAATGCAAATCTGCCGTCATACGGAAAAAAGACGAATATGACATTTTTTCGGAACATACTCGGTTACATATTCGGAATCAGTACAGCAAACCCAACATGCAAATACAATAACTCAATTTTGGAAAAAATGTCATTTAGAAATGTCATATTACAGTTAGCACCGGCGTCGATCTTTTGATTTAAAATGATGAAATTCGTAACACATTCATTCGAGGCAGTCTCGGGGTCCGTGACGTAGCGGATAAACTCCAAGAGCGGCGCCTGAGATGGTATGGCCATGCCGCACGCCGTTCGGAAAAATATGTCGGAAGGATATGCCTTGATATGCCTGTCCCGGGAGCTAGACCTACTGGGCGGCCAAGGAAGCGATGACTGGACATTGTAAAGCAGGATATGAGAGCCAACGGACTGTACCATGAGGATGTCGAAGATCGGACAAAGTGCAGGAGATTAAGCAGGAAAGCAGACCCTGGCAATTGTTGGGATAAATGCTAGGTAGAAGAAGACCTACCTATGCAAAGTGCATGAGGAGTACATATTACATTTACTTCTGTGATATAATTTGTTAATTGTTTAATGTAAACAATTTAAAATTAAATAAATTGAAACAAGAAATAATTCACTCAGTGAAGTATAGTTAAACTAGAACACTCTCACCATTGATATCCTAGCATTGTTTATGCATTCTGATAGCTGAAAGGCAATTTCGTAAAGTATGCCAACTATGCGACATGCACAAGACATTTATCCTTGGACCTAAATAGAAAGGACATCCGTTTACACTACAAATAAAGCTATTGTGAAATCTACTTCGAAATACAACAACCTAATACTTGTAAAGCCAGTCGCTGACATTGTAAAAGATACTGATAATATGTACGGAACAAACTATTAAAATAATACAATTATTGAAATTTATTAGTTCACATATAGACACGCAATAGCTGTTATCGATAACACATCTCGAAAGAGAAATAAAGTTAAAGCTTTAGTTCCATATCATTCTTAATCTACAAAGGGCGGTGCCTATTCGAATCGCTTTCAGTTCTATTAGGGTATACATTTACCCTTACCTTAGACACTTTCACGAGAAATGTCAAATGTATACCGTATACTAAAACAATGATTTCTCCCTCATTGACTTATCGCAGACAAATATATTCGATATAACTTTGCTAAAATAATAGCCAATTACCTTGTAAATTGTTTAACATGGGGTCAGGTGTTAAGTTCGCCGAATCCCTTCCCGGTTCACGACTCGAAAGGGATACACTATGATCAAGTTGTCGCATTAACACTTCACTTTCCCCACAACCCAGAATTTCAAGCATTTACTCATCTGCCGGCAAAGTGCCCGTAATTACAGGGATGGCTGTAAGAACTCCTACTACAATCTGCAATGATATGGAGAAACGTACCGTGGCCCTTGCTAAGGCTCTTCTGATGGATCACTTTCACGAAAATTGAATGAAAGTGTGTCGTGCGAAAATGCATTTTGTTCGAAAAACGGAATATTCGCACGGATTTCTGAAGACCGGCTCGCGGTCTCGTCAGTCGTGCAAGTCCAGTCAGCTGTTTGTTTATATTAACATTCGCGCACACCGCGTTCCAGTAGACTCGTTCGCCCATATCAATGATCGCTGAAGTGAACGCAGCCGAGAACAGGCAGACGTCGGAATGTCTTGTTATACGAGTTTACCTGAAGGTGTAAAGCAATGCGTTTCGTACCTCTGTGGTGAAAGATAAAATAAAAGTATAGTATTCGGTATTCAATCAAGATATTCTTCATTTTAGAATCAAAATAGAACCGCATTGCTTAAATTGATTTGTGTCAAGAACGTTTTATATTCAGCCGTCTTTGATTATATACTTCTCTAGATAGAGCAGTGCTAACAAACGACGCGCTCAAACTCTCCAATTGCGTGATATATGTGAGTAACGCTCGTGTACTTATTGTAAACAAACTATGGTGTTTAACCTATTTAAGGATGCCTACTCCAAATTATTAACTTACGTTTTCTCCGTTATTAAATAACGTGAAAGTTAAACCAAATAATATGAATAAAGTAATTATTTTGTAGATTAGTAGTTTTATTTATTTTAGTAACAACAGAAAAGACAATGAAAAAAAGTAGTAATTTATGGATCAAACCACATCTCTTTGTATTCGTTTTCACAATAGTTTTCTCTTTTATTTTATTGCCTAGGGTTCACGAATATTTTTAAAAAAACTTTAAATCTGATAAATCTAACTCACAAATGTAATGACATTTTATTTGCAAATATTTTTTAAATATTAGTCTTAACAGGTTTGTGAAGTTTCCACTATTCTTCAATTCTTGTCTGCTGTATAATGTATTTCCAGCAATTTGCAACGGAATTCGTAGGAAATCTAAAACTCAAAATTAATCGAAAGAACTAACAAAAATACTATTTATTGCATGACGTCATGTGTTTCAGTTATTTTGTGTAGTTGAGTTATGAATCAAATAAATAATGTGATAAGTAATGGCGACTCCGTGGCGCAGTCATCTTCGGGGGTCGTGGGTTCGATTCCCACACGGGACAAGTATTTGTGTGACCCACAAATAGTTGATTCGCATCTGGGTGTTAGTCCACGTGAAATTTATGTACTTGTGTAAAACGTCCTTGCAACACAGGATAATGTTATCCTAAAGTGAGAGCAATGTTCTCATCGAAAGTTGATATAATGATGTCTGTATTTTGTCTCCCATAGTTTCCACAAAACTTCGTATTAATAAACTGACAACACCGGCTAACCTACGAAATGAATTAAAAAATCGTGTTTTCTTAGTGGTTAAATAAAAAAACTTACCTTGTATCTTGTATTAACTGATGTTTGTGCTTTCAGTCCAGAGACTATTAAAGCTTCATCTGACGCAGAACCGGTGAGCTAGCCAGAACCCACGAGTTTGGGCCCTCCGCTGTGGGTAGGGCCGCGCATGTGCTCATGCGTGCGTTAAACTACGGCATGTCATCTAAGGGCCATCGAAGTAGCGGTGCGGACCGAGACCCCGATGGCCGTCGATTAGGCCGTTTTTAGCTAATCGGTGGCTGGGGGCGGTGAGAACCGCCCTGGAACGCGGGTGTACCTTGTGTACGCGTTGTGTTGGTCTCGCCGTGCTCGGAGGCGAGAGCGAACTAATGTGTTTGTTGCTACACTAACTGTGTGTGTAGTGTTATCCGGCGGGACCCCCGACGGTGGGTCCGACGTACCTAAGTCCCCTTCCCCGACCGGGTCGATGAGGACGTTTCGCGGGCGACGCTTGTTGACGCTCGCGTTTAGATCGGGTTGGTAATTTGCTGCGCTTACCACCAGAGGGTTGGGATGATGTTCGGCTCTATCGAAGAACCGTTTGGTCAGGTCTTTGAAAAATTCGCGAATTATCGGGAGTCTGCAATCACTGTGCAGGTCGACGTTGCGTTGATACCACTGCGCACCGGTTGCGCGGCGGATGAACTTATTTTGCACTACTTGCAACTTGTGCAAGCGAGTAGGGTGCGTGTGGGCGAAAAGCATGCATGCGTAGGACATGATTGGCCGTACGCAAGCTTTGTATAAAAGTAATTTGTGTCTTAAGGACATTTTACTTGACTGGTTAGTTAAAGTGCTTAGCCGGCCGGAGACAAACGCGGCTCTGTTACGGACGTTATTAATATGCGCTGTGAATGACATACGCGAGTCGAAAGTGACTCCTAAATATTTTACCTTTTTCTCCCAGGGGAGCGGTTGGCCATAAAGAGATATTTGCCCTAGCTTTCTGCATTGGCGACGACCTTTATAAAGATGTGACGGGTAAGTACTTCGTGTGAAGTGAATCGCCACACTCTTTTCGGGATTTACTTCAATTCTCCATTTGCGGAACCAATCGCCGAGGCGGTTGGCGGCGCTTTGGAGTCGAGTAGTTAGTTGACTAAGGTTGCGGTCTGAATAAAAGAGCGCCGTGTCATCCGCGAAAAGCGCGAGATTGACGTGGGGTTCTTTTGGTATATCGCTCGTGTAGAGCGTAAAAAGTAAGGGTGAGAGGCAGGAGCCTTGTGGAACGCCAGCCGTGAGGCGGCGGCTTGTGGAGAGGGCACCTTCAACTCGATATCGAAAGGAACGGTTCGACAAGAAGGCCTGAATGGTGTGTACAAGCCTGTCTGGCACTTTGAGTGAGAACAGCTTGTAAATCAAGCCGTTGTGCCAGACTTTGTCGAATGCCTTTGCGACATCGAAGAAAAGAGCCCCCGTGCTAATATGTTTAGGGTGATTTAGGCCTTTTAGGATATGTTCCGTTAGGCGGTATAATTGATCGGGACAGGAATGTCTTGCTCGAAAGCCGAATTGTTCCGCCGGCAGAAGGCCATTGGAAAACACGTGGTCTTTGAGCCTGTTTAATAGAAGCCGCTCGTAAAGCTTCCCCAGGCAACTGAGGAGGCTGATGGGACGATAACTAGAGGGCTGATTGGCTGGTTTATTCGGCTTGCGAATGCCGATAACCGTGGCTTCTTTCCAGTCGTCCGGAAAGGAACAACTGGAGAGTAAAGTGTTGTAAATGGTCGCCAGTAAACAGATAAGTGGGCCAGGGAGAGCTTCAAGGATTTTATTACTAATATTGTCTGGGCCCGGGGCGGATTTGGGTTTTAAATTTTTGATAATATCGTGGACCTCTTCGGGGGTCACTGAGTTTAGTGGATCGCCTTCCGGTGGAAGCGCAGCCCTAGTTTCGATAACGCGGTCCACCTCCGTTAGGTGGGCTGTGTCGATGTGTTCGCGCGATGGCGTACATTGCTGCTCTAGGTTGTCCGCAAGGCATTCGGCTTTTTCGGAGTCATCTAGGGCTAATGAAGCGCTATTAGATCTAACTAACGGCGGTAGAGATTCGCGGGGCTCTGCTTTCAGACTGCGGGCCAACCGCCAGTAGGCGGTGTGCGATGGCTCGATATCCTCTAGTAGAGTGTCCCACTCGGTATGTCGGTGTTCCGATACGCGATCTTTAACTTCTAGCTGAAGACGTCGAAGTAGGGTTCGGTTCGATTCTGATCGGTATCGGTCGAAAGCTCGTTTGGCTGCATTTTTTTGTCTAATTAGCAGTCTTAGGTCGGGTGGAAAGTTAAACCGTCGGTCGCCCGACAGTTTCACTGTTCATTCCGAATCTGCAACTGCGGAAGTGATAGATGCGCGAAGACTTGCTATCGCTCGATTTGCGTCATCGAACGTAGCTATCGCCTCGGGTAGGTTGGCGATGTGCTGGGGGTCCAAGGCCTTGAGTTTGACCTCAAGGCGATGCCAGTCCACTACGGTTTTGGTCGGAGGGACCGCGCCGGCGTTCTGGCCCAGTTTACACAGGACCGGCCTGTGGTCTGATTCTAATTCTTGGATTGTCTCTATCGACGCGATGTCGAGGGAGACCTCCTTGAACAACATGATATCAAGAATACTCGGTGTCGAATGCTGGTAATCGTCCACCGTAGGATATCTTGTGGGAGTCACAGGAGCGATTATGTTGTAATTTAAATCGGCAGATAAGTATAAGAGCTGCCTACCGTTGTTGTTAGCGTAAGTTTGGGGGTCCCATGAGCCGTGTTTGCTGTTTAGATCTTCTGCAATTATCACGGAAGGGCCTAAGTTAAGTAGCGTTTCTAAATCGCTTTGTAGAAGAGTTTTATTCCCCGAGAGGTAGGCTGAAACTGTACAAGCGGGCTGTGGCCGGTGAGCGCTAACCTACACGCGCATGCCTCTATATGTCTTAGCTCTGGGATTTCGAGCGGGCTACAGTGCAAGGACCGTTTATAATATATTAAGGTACCTCCCAGACGGTTTGCTAACCGATCGTGGCGGACTATATTATAATTTGCGATTTTTGGATCGCGTCTGCTAGGTTTCAAGAAGGTCTCTTGCACTAGAAATATATCGACGTTATAATCGCGAAGGAATTCTGCGATTTCGTCCCTTTGGCCCCTAATGCCGTTTGCGTTAAAATACGAAACAACCAGAGCCCGAGGTTTTAATCTACCTGCGGTTGTACTTTCCATTTTAGTTTTAGTAGCGGTTCTAGGTAACGACGCGGCGAAGCGTGGTTTTATTGCCCGGACTATAAACCTTTATGGTTGATTTGTAAACACCCAAAGGGCGTCTACAAGTTTTTTGTGCTCGTTGAGCGCATTACGTCGATCGGTGCCACATGTGGCGGCCGATAACTTTGTAGATAGGACGGCGAGCTCTTCCCGGTTTATGCGTTCCAGGAAGCTGCAGATGTTTGCCATTTGGGCAAAAGGGTCGTCTTGGTTCGCGGAAACGACCGGTGTAATAAAATGCACCTGTCGGTGCTTGTTGTTTGACAGGCTGCGGTTGGAATGTCGTCGGTCGTGAGGCGACCGGAGGCGCGGCTACCTGCGCGACTGCCTGAGGTTTCGCCCAGGCGTTTACGACGGGTGCGGGCGCGGGAATGTACTTCGCCGGCGCGGATTTCGGGGCCGCGATTTTCGCGAGCGTAATTTTTGCGGGTGCTTTCCTCGCGGGGGTTTTTGGAGCTTTAGCGCAGCCCCTATAGCTAGCCGGGTGGCCGGTAGTCAAACAATTTACGCAGTCCGGTGGATCTGCGCAATCTTTAGGAACCGTGCAATCTGTCGTGCCGTGGTCACCGGTGTATTTGACGCACCTAGGGTGAGCAAAACAGTTGCCATAGTGTTGGCAGTTATGACACTGCGCAACAACGCCTGACTTCCGTGGAGGCTCAACGACGAGTTCGCTAAGCCCACAGAGCCTCTTCAAATTAAAAATTGCCTTACCTTCCGGGGTAGGGTCCAACTCCACCATTACAATGTCCATCGGGACACGGGTTCTGGGGTGACGTAGGCGACGAACGGCGTGCACCGGGTATCCCTGAGTGCGGATGTCGATTTTTACATTGTCGACATCCGACTCTTTCGGGATTCCCTTTATGACTACCCGATGTTTGCGTTCTTCAGGCAGCGAGTAGGTATGGAAACCTACTTTGTTTTCGCGTAAATATTTAGTGACGCGGTGGAAGTCATCGATGCTATCGAGGTATACACGGATACCTTGATGGGTGTTCTTCGACCGGGGGTCTCGAATATTGTGGCGTTCGAACCACACGCAAATTTGATGCCATTTAGCTTTCTCCTGGATGATGATAGGCGGAGGAGGCTTGGCTTTTCTTTCGGCGGCGTATTCGGGTACCGGTTGGACTGCCGCGGCCGCCTTTTTGGCGAGCGTCGCAGTGGATCTATTAATTGAGGTGGCGGCCTCGCTTTCGGGGTCGCTATCTACGGCGGGGCGTTTCTTGTCCTTCTTTTTTCGTCCAGTGACGACGGTGAAGCCGTAGTTGGGGGTAGGGTAGCTTGCGAGGAAGGCGCGACGGGCGTGTTCGCAGCGGCGGATGTCGACGCGACGGGCGCTTCTTGCGTCGCGGAAGGCAACGGGGTTACGGGCGCAGAGGGCGCCGGAGATGGCGGCGATGCGATTGCCGGTGAAGGCGGGCTGTCGTTGCCGTATTCAACGACTAATCGTTGTTCGGATTCGAACGCTAGGTAGCTTTCCCAAATGTCGGGACAGCGTTGTCGGACGAACTCCTCGAAAAGGGAGCCCATCGTAACGTATGTGCCTTTGGGGCTTAGGCCCCGCCGGCGTGTGTAAGCTTAATAAGCCTCCCCACCTTGCGGCAGGGAGGAGTGTGCCTAAAAATAACACTTAATTCGCCTGCGCTTTAGGTGCGCTAGGGTGAGTACCTAGCTGTCGCCCAATGCAACAAGCACACAGTTAAAAATTAGGCAATGCCGCCTCTGAGGCGAGAAATGTTTGTAGAATTCTACTTACGGACAGGAACCTGCCTACGAGCACAACACTACACTAACAATAAACTATTGCACTACTTGCACAAATATTTAAATTGCATCCAAAGTTGCGAGTAGCGTCTAATTCGGGTGGCATGTGCCCTCCGTCTTAGAGAGACGTCCGTTCCGTACGAGAGCACGAAGCGGAATGAAAAAACTTACCGATACAACATAGATGATCTTGATGATATTTTACGGATTTCCTATATAATTGCGACAGAATTTGACAGGACAAACTGCATAATTGATTATTTTTCGTGGACACGTTATCCATAAGTAATGCAAATGACACTACACACACAGGTTTAGATGAAGCGAGTTTACCAATTTTAATAGACTTTATTTGAGCCGTGATAGCTCAGTGTCCGGGCGCACGCCTTTAATTCAATATACTCGAGCAACCTGAGTTCGATCCCCGGTGCCGGCACCAATGAAGTTTTTAACTTTAAGTGCTGACTTATCACGTGCTTCGCGGTGAAGGAAAACATCGTGAGGAAACCTGCATATTTTCGAAATAATAACAGAAAAAAATATTTCGAAGATCCGCCAATCCGCAGTGGGGCCGCGTGGTGGACTATGCCCTGATACCCTCTGTATAGAGGAGGCCTTTGCCCAGCAGTGGGACATGTAGAGGCTGTTACGTTACGTTACGTTATTTGTGCCGTTTGGTAAGGTTAAATGTGTCAAAGAAAGTAAGCCGTTTATACATGTCACTATGATAACAATAAACATTAAAAATTTGCCATTGACCAATCAATCATGACAATCTGGATAATAATAAATATAAAATACGTATCGAAAATATTCCATCCATTATTATTTTAATCTCAATAATAAAAATAAGGTTGAAGCGAAACAGAAATATGACCGCGCACAGATTTGAAATAAAAATCAAAGAAAAAAAACTTGGACGTATAACGTAATGTAATAATGAAAATGAGTTGCGTTGCAAGGATGTGAGACGAAGCGGGAAGGTGGCGGGAGGGGAATTTGAAGCCGTCCCCTCTACCCGCTTCCCCGTACTCCAAAGCACACCCGCCCGACCGACCCTACCCCCCGCATCCGAGCGAGAGGCGACAGCTAGCCAGCTGCGCGTTCGTTTTGCTTACTTGTGTTTTTCGGATATTCTCGTGCGATTGACGTTCCTTTCTTATTTTCTCTAGTTTTAAAAACATAAAAACTGTACTAAATGCGCGGGTGTCAAATATTTTCAATTGCTATTGTCCAATTATTTAAAAAGGGCGTAATCATTCGAACGTTTTCAGTGTCGTTATTCATGTGTTCCTTGGTTACCAGTGCCTTTTGTCTGTCCTGTGAATAAAACAACATTGGTGCTATTTTTGTACGTTCCTGTAAAATTATTAGACGTAGACTTAGCAGTGTGATCAGTGATTGTTGTCGAAGCCGGTTTCCGTTAAGGAAACTTTCGAAACGTGCATAAAACAGTGGGTAATGCTTTCCTAGCGAATGCGGGCCCTGCCTGCACGCATTCCAAAGGGAGGCAAGTGCCGGCATTAAGCATTTTACGGTGAGTAAAGCGCACTCAAGTTCATCGTTCTTTGACCTAAATTATAATGTCAACTTTATTGACCAGCATCCAGAATGCCAGTGTCAAATGTCACGAAAAATTGGAGGTGCCTAATATTATATCATGAACGTTGTTCCCAGAACACTATCATAGTTGATGCTACAACATAATTATTTTAGTCATACATTTTCGCTGAGTAAAATTGTTATAATAATATATTTATTTTACAATGCTACATTTATTGTTATAGAATGCTATAGATTTTTTAATACCTATATTAATGTTCATAGCATTAAATATAATTTCTGTTTATGGATCTAAACTGAGATTATTTGATTGATATTTGAGTAAACAGTTTGTTTCATGCTTCACACATTTATTTAGTTATACCACAATATGCATAAAAACACATTGTTCTAAAATCACTGATTTTTCAAAGCCCGGATTATATTAAATATTATGTGTACAATGTTCCAAGCTTTTAATGAAAGTACTGTACATCTTTTATTTCTAAACAAGTAATGGGAAAACAATATCTGAAGCGATAAACTAAATTTTATAAACTATTAACAAAAGCTTATATAGTTTTGGACTTAAAAGTCACAAAGTAATTTTTTACAAACAAAGCAAACCTAAAGACTTTATAAAAATCATGCCCAAAATCATAATTTACTTGTAATTTCAAAAATTATTATAATAACCTTTTTTGAAAATTACAATTTTATGAAATTTTGCTTTTAACAACTTAAAGACAGTATGTTATATGCCAATATATCAAAATGTGAATACTATTTTTAAGTTAATCCTGGAAAAGTTATTAGGTAAGGGTGTATAACACATAGTTGAATTTTTTGGTTTCACAAAATTTTAAAATATGTGTTATTGCTACAAAGATAAAATAATGTTTTCTAGACACAATGTTGATTGTCAAATTATTATTATAAACAGTCATGAGCATTATTGAACTCTTTACTTAATTCAAACTTTCAAGTAGTTTACTAATGTAAGGAATACATCTATTTAAAAATAAATAATTATCATTAAGCATGTGTTAAATTATTTTCTGTTAATAGAATTGAATTGATTAATTTTCAGGTTAAATATTAAAAGGCCCCATAAAATGTATTAATTTAGTAATTGGTCATAACAATTTGTTTAAATTATTTGTCTTAGGTAATATAATGACAGCCTATACATACTCTACTGCTGTTATTCATGTTATGTTCTATTCAAAGACTTTATGGCTGTTCATTTGGGGCATTGGCGAAACTTGTTCTATATCAACATATTTCCTCATACATACTTAATTGTTTTGTAATAATACTTGTTATTAGCATCCTTCATTTCCCCTGCTTTTCTTGAAAAAAAAATTCAAAGTTTTAAAGCCATTTCAAATGAATACATAAGTAACTGGAAAAAAGTGTAAAATTTTACCAATTTTATGCAAAAGAATTTATTTGTGAGCTGGCATACATTTAACTTGACCTGGGCTTCTATAATTGATTTGGCTAGTGAGGCTACGGGCTGCTGTGAACAGCTTGCTCATTTACCATCCTCTCTCATAGAATGAGTCAATACTATAATTTCATGACTTTATTGTTTATGTTTTCACAAAATATTTAACAATTAACTTCACAGGGAGGCGAACGGTGCGGGTGGCGGGGTCGGCAGCGGCGGGCTGCTGGCCATGAACGCCACCCAGGTCCAATGTGAGCCCCGTGACTCGGTGGTACTCATTAAATGTAAGTAATCCTACACTCATAGCTTAATTAGTAAGGTCATAAATTGGATACAAGGACAGTGAGTCAGCCAACAGTAATCATTACAGAGTTTTATTTGTTGATTTATGATATGGTTAACTTTTGCAATGTTAATTACATAATACTCAAGTTAACTAACTCAATGTTAATTGATCATTTTATAGATCTGTAATTTATCAAAATATGCCATGTATATGTTATCAAAATAGACCAGAATTAAAATTAATTAAATACCATGAATGAAATAATTATACTTCATTTTTGGATATCAAAATATTCCTGTGGTAGAGTTCGTAATGAAGACATCCGCAGTAGACCCAATGTAACTGACATAGCTATTATTGGGGGATTAGCAAGCTGAAGTGACGATGGGCCGGCCATGCAGCTCGTAGAACCGATAACCATCGGGGAAAAAAGGTTCTCGAGTGGCAGCCTCGTACTGCCATCGTAGTGTAGGACGACCCCCCATTAGGTGGGGTGAGGACCTGTGCAAATGTGTGGGAAGTCGATCGATGTATTAGGCTCAGGATCGTACTTTGTGGCAGTCTATGGGGGAGGCCTATATTCAGCAGTGGACTCAAACAAGCTGAAATGATGATGATAGGACTATGGACCTCAGTAATACCTTAGTTGTTGCAGCTACACGTACAACTTTTACGAAGGTGGTCTCTGCGTACCTCAAGGCAGTAGGAGATATACTTAAGATTTCCATCATTGGAGTGAGGACAAATGTCTAAGGCCCGTGGCTGGCGGCGATGTCACCCGTACAATGTACCAGCCTCTGCGTTCGCTGGCTCGATTGCGCATTGTTCTGATTAGTACATTTCCCTCCCATGAGCTATTTCAATAGCATGTCCGAGGTTACGCTTAGTAGTTTGTGACCCTGTTTGTAAATGACTTGCATATACGTACGTGTATAGTTGTTTACATAAACTAATATATTAATAGTTTTAATAATAAGTTGTTTTGATTAGTTATAAAACCGTTTAAAAACTTTTACGGTTATCAAACGGTTTTATTTTCTGTTTTTTTTTTTTTTTTTTTGTGCACTGAAAACTACAATATTGTATTGTGATCTTAATTAAATGTGTGTACCAAATTTCAGATCAATCTGACAACGGGAAGGTGCTTAAATTTCAATTTCTAATTTTGACCCAAATAAACAAATAAATTCCGTACGTGTCGAGCTAAATAAAACCGTTTAAAAATTCGAACGAAGTTTAGATTCAAACTTACGGTTTCTCGGTAAAGCCCATACCCCAGACACTCTGAACGCTAAAACTGAGACTAGCACTAAAAGCTAAATAAATTATAAATTAGGTTAATAAATAAGGTTAAGATAATCTTATATATTATATATGAGTTTTTTAATATATTTAATCAATGTATACCCGTCATGTATAAAACGAATTTTCTGCACCATCTAGTCTCTATGTTATCAAAATGTGTTTAAACGTCTTGTCCTTAGTAAGCAGAAGCTCGACTAGTGCGAATGTAAGGTGTATTTTTGGATTAATCTCCACTACCGCTGCGTCAACAGCGATATATTTGCACCGCTAATACTGCGTAATACGTACATCTGCATGATAACTATTATGTCTGAAGCTGAAAGTAAACATTTATATGCGTTAATATAGCAGCAAAGTGAGTTCAATGATTCACGAAACATTTTAATATACCTGACCGTCGAACTGTCCTTCTAATTAAATCATAATGCAATATAATATAGTCATAATTGCTCACTGGGTTTTGTATCATCGTCAACAGCACCTTTATTTGTCCACTACACGTAGGCGTCTCTCACTAACCACAAGATGCTTCGATCTTGCGGCCGTTAATATTCAGTTGCTGTCGTCAATTTTCGACAAAAAAAATCTACAGTATACCATTTCTCAGATTTTTTTATATATATTCAAGGACACTAATTGCTTTCGTCTATAATCGTAATAGATTCAAACATCAATAACCTATCTTCAGATTCTCAACGGAGTTGAAAATGCCGTTATGTAGTGTGTAGCACCTTCTGCGAAATCCGTGCCCGATAAATTTTATCATGTAGTCCAGCTTTACACGGTTAAGACCGAATGTGTTGAACCAAACCAAATCTTGAGAAAACTTTTGTAGCCAGCGGTATTTCCAACTTTTGACAAGACCTTAGTGTAGAAACCAAAGGTGCAATACTTTGTGACTGTGGTAGGGTCTTCACCAGTCTTCTCTGCACGAATGGCCAGGTGCGTTCGGGTAAGTACCACAACCTCACAGAAGACCGACGTGAAGTGTTTTATACTTATGCTTTTCGTCTGGTAAGTGAGGTAACGGGAGCCCACTTTTTTAATGATGGCAACGTATTTGCCACGGCGGTTATCGCTTGCTATCTTCTTTCATAAAAAAATCCAGTGCTGCGAATCCATAGGCGGCAATGATCATTTCCCGCTAGGATCCCATTAAAATTAACTTACCGGATCGCAGCAAGAGTACCGGCGGTGCCATAACGCGCAAACACCACGCTCGGCCCATCCGAGAATAGATAGTGTCGATAGTTTATATCCGTCGCCGAACGCTCCCCCGTTGCGCCGGCGCTCCGCTCCGAATTAACGCGGGGGCCACGCGCTCGCTCACAATTAACTCCGCGATACGAATAACAATCGCGTCGCGCTGGAAACGCGCCAATGTCGGCGGACTTTTTCGTCCTAGGTGGTGGCCCGTGACAGTTGACACGAGCACTACGCGATTATTATCCTGTTTAGGGTTAGTTTCGGACGCTCCGCGCGCCGCGACGCACGCGAATGATGCGACCCTTCCGCTGCGATGTTAGAGAGTGCCGTGCCGCTCGATTTGTGTGATAATGCAGTTCACGTTGGTGATCGTCGTGAACAAGGTCAAGCTGTGCCCGGTGACCGAGGAGCCGCTAAAACGCATAGGTGATACAGTTAGGCTCCTCATTGGTCTAAGAAGGAGCTTTGTTAATGTTGATTATTGGTTCTTTCGTATGGTTAACGGTCTTGCACGTGTATTGTTTACCGAAGTAAAACTAACTAACTCGTTGTATTATAAATCTTAATTTAGATACTTAACCACTAAGAAGCTGAAATACGTATAGAAGTACTAACTAATTTAATACATGTCCAATTCGTCGAGTTCACATTGCTAGGAAGCGGGCACTCGGTAACACAAATCATGCGTAGCGTATAGCAATAGTAAACAGAAAGATATTGTAAGTGACGTTCTTAACCAGCTGAATAAACGTAATTGGTCAATTTCTATCGGCCCATCGCCCTTATCCACTTGCCACCAGTTGCACAAACGAACCTATAATTGAAGGCAGCTGCTAATCTATAGTTCAGTGTTTAAATTGACGCGAGTCAACGTTATCATTGTAAGCAAGTATCATTTAGTGTGAGCCTCGTAGCAACGTCTGAGTATGCCACGTCCTCAAAGAAGACTGACGTAAATTAGAAGAAACTTTCTTCTAATTCGCGTGATAGCGATAGCATCTCTATAAGTTTCTTCTTTGGGTCCTAGAAGCCCGTGAGTGTGGTAATTACAATCATCATGCGAGCAGTCTACTGCTTCCCACCTTCTCTCATAAAAAATACATGAAAATCACAATGACTTGTTGTGCCGGTAATCGTTGAGCGGTTAAAAAAATTCCACCACTTACTCAGCACACTCTGCCTGACAACCGTTAGTCAGGACGGATTCCGAGTAAACATTTTGTGACGTCTTAACCTTAGTGATTACACTTTGCCTGTACGTAATTCCCGTAATGACAGATAGTAAATCGTGACAGTTCAGAGTATGAATATCTTTATATATATAATAATTCTACTGTACGTGTGTTGTCACTGAACTCCTCCTAAACGGTTGGACCGATTTGAATGATTTTTTTTGCATGCGTTTGGATGGCGCCCTGGATGGTTTAGATTCATAATTCGTTTTTTTCTTTGTTTATAAGTTGTTATCGGATTTAAGTCGTGACAGTACAGAGTACAGGACAATGTCTGCCCGGTCCGCTAGTTTTATATATTTTAATATATTATCTAGTAAGGCAAAGCATGTATGTATGTCCCATAGCTGGTCAAAAGCCTCAGTACAGAGAATATTAGAGCATAGTTCACAACGCGACCCCTCTGAAAATTGGCGCACTTAACGATATCTTCAAAATATATTTATTATGTTATTATTACTTATTTCGAAAATATGCAGGTTTACTCACAATGTTTTCTTGAACACGTGATAAATCAGCTCTTAAAATTAACAATATCAACAGTGCCAGCACCGGGATTTGATCTCATGTTGCTCCAGTTTATGGAATGATAAACAAGCGCTTAGACATAATTTTGTATTAATATTGAAAAGATTATCTCTTCAATTTGCTTGTTTTTATATACTGTAGTTTTGTTTGTATTGCTTTCTACTGAGTGAACCGATTTTGATGATTCTTTTTTTATTTGAATGCTGGTACTTCACATGTGGTCCCACATTGGTATTTGATGTTGTGCTCCGGAGATATTTAGGGAACTCCTGAAAATATATTATAAAATACAGAGCGAGATATTTGAAGTCAGTTTTGTTTTTCGTTAATAAAAAAACTTGACTTGTTCTGAGTAGGATAGATTGTACTTTATATTCACATAAAAGGGATTCTTAAGTCAGAGATTTCAATATTCGTAGATAGAAGTCCCGAAAACTGAAAAAAATTTACAGTGACGGTTGCGATGTATTATTTAAGTATTTAATATTTGTACATCCCTAGTGTAATAAAGACATTTCTCTAAACTTTGGTTTGTCTACCCATAAGCGTAAGCCGGCGCGAGCATGCTTGAGACTTAATAAGTCGGCCATCTGTGACAGTGGTTCCCATAGAAAAGAATGCATAATGACCTTACCGTTCAATTCTCGAGATATACAGCGTGTCTTTACAATCACTTTTTTACTTAATTAGTTTGTTTGAAAAATATATTTTTTAATTATTGTTATTT